ATATATAAAAAAATTACACTACAATAAACAAAGTAACCTAATATATGCTGTTTACCAAATTAAATATATAAGCGTAGCTGCATCATTAAACAACAACATAGCCGTGACTCCACCCAGACAAATTTGAAGTTAGTCGCGCGCCAGACGTAAGTTTCGAAAGAAAATAGCGTTTGATCGACTTAAAATTGAAATCTGGAGCAATTTTGTTAAGGAATACGCATTGCAACAACTTTTCTGTATGATCTGGAATTAATAAGGTTTGGTATTTTTCTCGATTCAATGCAATTTTGTGATTATGGTCTGGAGTTACCTACATGAATTAACTTACATCGGATTCCAGCAGCGTCTACTTTAGTAGTATGTGTTGACTTCGGCATGCGTGTTTTTGTTCTGTCATTGAATGATTCAAATCATAATGTGGGAATATTATGAATCCTTTCAATTACAATTATAAAAAAGATGCTGTGGAATTTATTGTTTATTTTATTTGATTTTGAGTGCAGTAAGGAGGATGTAAGTGCACTTGGAATGTGTAATCAACTTTGAGAACCCATGACAGGATTCATGTAATTCAGATTTGCAGAACTACGAAAGTATATTTTGATGCAATTCAGAATATAAAATTGTAAGTATATTTTTGGCCATTTTTATTACCAGCTAAAGACGACAGTGTATGTCTTATTACTTGTGTGTTATTGTGAGGACCCTATATGGCTTTATAGCTAGCCTAAATCTGAAACATTGTATCACAAAAGTTAACGCGGAATGTGGCAAAGCAGTTTGTGTGTGTCAGTCTATAAAACATTTGCTGTAATGTGGCAGTCCATGAAATATCTGCTTTAGTTCAGTCATAAAAATTGTTTACGTTAGAAAATATTTCATATATTCATGTGCATTTAGTATGAATTTATGCGCGAGGAGTGCAATGTCGGGGAATACTGAACGATTCAGACAAAGTTAAGTAAACGGAACAAATAAATGAGCATATGATAATTATAGATTACTGCATTTGTTCGATCCTGAATTTCCTCAAATGTACTATTTTTAGTTCTGCAAATCCGAATTACATTAGCCATGTCTTGGGCTTCCGAAGCTTGATTACACATTTCGAAATTGTGTTGTAATTTTGACTCGTTTTGTCGGATGGATATACCGCATTCCCAAGGTCGTGCAGTTTAGTCATCCGAAAAACACATTCATATTTTCCCATAAAAATGCAGTAACCTATAAGAATAACATTGTGACTGCTGCTGTAATACCTGCATGATGTGTAGTAATGTAATTTATTGTTATGAATGGTTATGTATACTTGTTCATTTTTTGTGTATTAATGTAGTATATAGTGTTATGAATGGTGATGTAATTTTTGCATGTCATGTGGTATTTTAATAGAACATTATGAATGGTTCTGTAATACTTGTCTGCTGTGTACTAATGAAATATAGCGTCATTAAATGGTGCTACAATTAACGTTCCCTCATGTGTGAGCGGAATTATGCAACTTCTGCGATGCATATGTATTTGCTACGAAAACTTGTGCGCGGAATTTCAAAATTGCTGCGCACCTGAGATGGAACATTTCCTGTAATACTTGTATGTTACATATTAATGTAATATAACGCTACGAATAGTTATGTACTATTTGTATGTTGTGTAGTAATGTACTATAACCTTATGAATGGTACTGTAGTACTTGTATACTGTGTAGTAATATCATGTAATGCTATGAGTGGCGTTATAACACGTTTGCTACGTATTAATGTAAGATAATGTTATTAGTGATGTATGCTACGTAGCAATGTAATAATACGTAATGAATGGTGCTGTAATGTTTGTGTTGTGTATTAATGTCAAATTAACTTTATGAATGAATGAGGCTGTAATACTTGTGTGTTGCGTATTAATGCAATATTGCTTTGTGAATGATGTCGTAATAGAATTATGGACCGCGATGTCATACGTATATATTGTGTAGTAACTGTACTACATGTATACTGAGTAGCAACTGTAATACATGTATTCGGTGTAGTAACTGCACTACGTGTATGCTGTGCTTTAACTGCAATTAAGTGACGGGAGCAAGTCATACAAGATTTTAATAAATAATTGCCAAATTATATATTTTCCTTTTCTTAAAAATAGGAAAATTGGTTCTTTGAATTTCATTTCGATTAGGAAAGTTTAAGAAATCTGACATGGCTAGACCAGGACACAAATGAAGGGTCTTATGTAGGATCATTTTAAGGTTCAGTATTTGGGCACTTTTGCTTTATCGATCTAACTAATCCGATATCTTAATTCTCTGTCACTGAGGAGAAGATGAGGTAAATGACAACGCAGTTATCTCATACTAGGGAGAATATGAGATAAATAACACCAAAATCATCTCCAACTAGCAGGCTGTGAGGTAAATGGTCTCCCAATTATCTCCTATTGAGGAGAATACGAGGAAAAGGCAAGCCAGTTATGTCCTGCTAAGTAGTAAATGAGGTAAATGGAACCCAAATTATCACAAACTGACGGTGTAAGTGGTTAGAGCGTCCGTAAAAGACTTATGAAAATGGCACTAGCAGCTGCCTTGCTTGGGGACAGCGTAGTCTATGACCTTTCTTTTCATATAATTACAAATACATGCAATAATTGTCCAGTTTAATATTGCACCATGTCAAGTTTTAGTAAAGTATTTACTTAGTTCATAGTTGGATAGGGTTCTAAATAAATAATGAACATTAATTCTTTAAATATGGTAGAGCTTTTTGAAACAAAGTTCAAGAAGCTTTCTATAGGCTAGTTTTGTAGATTAAAAAAGTGTTTACGTTTGATCCAATTAAACCACAAGTTGGTAGATGCACCATTACCCGAGTGGTAAATTTGCACCACTCTGTCATTACGCTAGTAGTGTACTGGGGTTCCAAAGCGATAACTGGAATTAGCATTACGGGACAATACTTTGTACTATAACGACAAGATTTATAGCGACAAAATATCACCCTGGGAAACTATGGCGAAAGTGTCGATTCGTATTGCCATTAGCACACTATGGGCCTGTATAGCGACAAGGGAATATAGTATTGGAACAATAGGAATGAAACTGGTAGGGTGACGTCACGGTGCTTGACACTTGCAACAATGTGGCAAGTACCGTGATATAATGCCGCCTGTTTCATTTCTATACCAAATTTTATGCATTTGCGTTCATATCAGTGGATAGTATGTATGCTTTATGCATTCGCGTTTGTGTCACTATTAGGGAAATTTTTACATGGGTGGGACTATAGATGGACAAGATTTATACGGACACATGGCACACCCTAGGCTACAATAGCGTCATTGGGAATTTGTGTCGGAACAAAAGGTATGGAACAGGTGGCATGATGTTACGGCACTGGACACTTGCAACAAGTTGAACTCGAACGCGAATCACACTTTTTCATTTAGATTTTCCAAGTCTATAGTTATAGTCTCAAACTTTTCAGCTTGAATGACGTCACTTTAGTCACTTTAGTCAACACTAGAGGAAATAATGGCAACAGTGTTGCAAGTGACTGACCTAATACGCGCTACTGTAGATAGATGGGCAACATGAATTTGATATGGATAAAGTGGGATTTCAAAGGGACATAGAACAATACATACAGGCACGCACAAAGAAACGTACGCGCACATATACAAACAAAAATACAAACACAAAGAAATAATCGTTCACGCATAAAAGCAAATAGACGGAAGGGAAGAAAAATCTTATTACAAATTATTCACACAAACGAAGGACGAGAAGACAAAACACTACTATTCTCACAAAGGATCGCGAATGCATTTAACACACACTATACTATCCACACAATAGAGAAGGAAAGTAAAAAATTACAACACATATACTATCCACACAAACGAACATGAACGCCTAAAATAAAGTCTACTATTCACACAAACCAAGGAAGAGAAGAAAAATACACCTATCTACTATCCACACAAACGTACGTAAACGCATAAAATACACCATATTTACTATCATACAAACGAATGCGAAGGCAAAACACACACACATACATACATACATACACACACACACACACATATATATATATATATATATATATATATATATATATATATATATATATATATATATATATATATATATATATATATATATATATAGGGTTTGGCTGGCCAGGATTGGTTAATAATAAAAGCTAGATTCCATTAAAGAATATCTTTTTATTTATCTTACTTTGTAGCTAAAACAAAAACTAGAGACGTTGTTTGATTGATGAAATTTCAATCCTTTAACAATCTTGTGTTTGGAACACTCATTATTGAAATGAGCATCTGACTCTTCAATGAGGAATTGAAAGCAAACGTTTAAAACGCACGTAGCCGCGGCTCATATAATTTTCTCTACACAGAAGCTCTCATTCAGGATTCATCTATACTGATAAATACCGGTTTGATAATGAGCAGTCTGATATTTAAAATTATTGCGTTTTTAATATCATGGTGTTTGTAAAGGTTCAACTAGGGAACTGAATTAGTACCGTCAGTTCTTATTCCAACCAATCGCATACATGCCTCGATAGATATATCAATGTGAGGATTCGGTAAATCGCGTTTTCATTTGATTTCAATATGTTAATTTTATATTCCATTTTTGTCATGCTGAGATTGCACATGCTCACCAGTTTACCCCCTCTCCTCTAATTGTTCTCTGTCACTATTTGTTCCTCATTTCTCTATTATTCTCGCAGTTTTCTTTACTCTCATTTATGGTTAATTTAAAAGAATAAAATTCACATTTGGCAGTAGGTCGTTATCCTTCAATGCATTTTTTCACCGACCGCTCACAACTTATATTTTCCACGTTCACAACACCAGTGACCAAATTTTACCTCAATGAGAACTCTCTCTCTCTCTCTCTCTCTCTCTCTCTCTCTCTCTCTCTCTCTCTCTCTCTCTCTCTCTCTCTCTCTCTCTCTCTCTCTCTCTCTCTCTCAAATCACTCTGGTGGCCTAGAGGTTAGAGCGTCCGCCTCGAAAACGGGAGGTCGCAGGTTTGAACCCCAGCCGAGTCATACCAAATACTTATGAAAATGATATTAGCAGCTGCCTCGTTAGGCGCTCAACATTAAGAGGTTAGTGTTAGAACTGTTCGGTCTGGTATCAGGATAATGTGGCTGGATAGGACATCATGTTGCATGTCTGCGGCATGATGCTCCAGTGCTAGACATCACTATAAACTGCCACACTGTAGACAACGTAGTGATATGACTAAAAACCGTTAAAGCTATGTTAAAAATACACACACACACACACACACACACACACACACACACACACACACACACACACACCAAACCTATATAAGCTCTATTTTATGTTTACCCGTTAAAGAGGTAGTGGCGGGTTGCCGTATTTTATAATCATCACTATGTAAAGTCAGTACCTTGCGAACTGATTTGTCAACTATTATGGCTGCGAAAGTCTTAGTGAGAGAGTTGGAACCTATAATTTTAATTGCGACCTACTTTCCCTCGACAACTAGAACTGATGACGCATACCACATATATTGTGAAAATGTGTGATAGATATTCTATTGAAAATATATGCATAATTATAGGCGACATGAATGCAGATCTTCTATGTAAAAATCCATCCAGAAGAAACCTTGCTGTCAGGAAAAGATTAGAACAGAGAAACCTCGGTGATAAAGCCTAATGAACATTAGATCACGTATACATCAAAACACATGTCACGAACGTCCACACTTGATTATATACTAATACCTGAAATAATCAGAGGTTGTGTAAGAAGACAGTAAACGACAAAATTGATTTGTCAATATCGGATCACCTACCTGTTAGAGCGGGACTTGCAAAAGATATGCTAAAGGAAAATAAAAAGACACGCGTATTTCCAAGAATAAATTTGAACTTGTTGAATTCATTAGAAATAAACAGGTATGAATCTGACGTTAGCGTATTCTTGAATTTCACCTATGAGTGCAAAAAGATATAGAAGATATAGAGAAGTATAATGAATTATTAACCAAGAGTGTAATAACTGTATCAGACAGATAATATTCCAAAGTCCGAATTCAGATCGCACTTGAAACCATATTGGAAAAGTGGCCTTGAAAAATTACACCAGGATATGAAAAAGCACACCAAGAATGGATCAAAGTAGGAAAACCTCGAAGTACAGGCTGTAACATCAAGCAAAAATACAAGGTCGCAAAAAGATAGTTCAAAAGGAAACATAGGCTAGAGAAAAAAGTTATATAAAGAGTGCATATTTGAAGAGATAGAAAAGAGTGCATAAATGGGAACAGACGAACTCTACTAGGAAAGACAAATCAGATTATGGTAATATTGTTTTCGAGGAGCAGACTCAAATAATTTGGATGAATGTCAATCTATGGAAACTATGTTTTTCTGAACGAAATGGTACAACAGATGAGGAACAGTATGATTGGTCAAGATGAAGAATGTATACGAATAAAGCAAACTAGAGATTGATAACATAGAGTATAATCCAATTACAGAGGAAGAGATGTTGCAGCATATCAAATCTCTAAAAATAAAAAAAAAATCACCAGGCATTGATTGCGTATCGAATGAGCATCTAATCTATGGTGGAAAATATTTGATCAGACATTTAATTGCATTTTTTTAATTACATGATCCAGTTTGAGTATTTGTCTAATGTACAAAGATGTGGGATGATTATACCGATATACAAGCAAAATGGTAAAGATAAAAAGGATCCTGGGAATTACCGTGGTATAACATTGACATCATGTCTGGGAATATTGTTTGAAAAAATATTGATGACCAGAATTCAAAGAGTATTTAGCCAAAATAAACTTTCTCCATCCTTATCAATTTGGATTTTGTAAGGAGGCTGGAGCTATTTCTGCTACATTTACAATTCAAGAATGTTTGATATACTATACTATTCATAACTCCAATGTGTATGCTGTTTTTATGGATAATGAAAAGGCATTCGATAAACTGCGGCATTGTGGACTAAAAAAAAACCCAACGAATTAATGGAAAAATATGGAGATTAATCGCCCATTCCTACACACAGTCAAGTGCCCGTGTAGCGTGTAGAAGATGTATATCCTATAAATTTCCGTTACGGAGTTGCATTCGTCAAGGGAGTCTAATGTCCGCTTTTCTTTTTCTTGTGTACGTAAATGACCTATTGAATGAACTAGTAATAAGTATTTGCAAGATAACAATGAATCAGATGAACATACCTGGCATGCTTTTTTTCAGACGACATTACTTTACTAAACTCTACGCTGAATGGATTACAGATACTTATGAATACAGCTTATTAGTATGCACGGAAGTGGAAATTGAAACACAACCCTAACAAGAGTACCTGGATGACATTCAGCAGAGAAAATGAAGCGTGCTTATCTAATGGAATTACTTTAGCATTACAGGATATTCCTAGAGCAAAAATGTGAAATATGCCAGAGTAACTTTTTCACAATAACTGAAAATTAATAATCGTACGATAAAGCTAAACGTGTAGCAAACTCACTATACTCAATTGGATTAAATGCAAATGGAATTAATCCTGTAGTTTCTGGGAAAGTCTGCTTTGTATGGCTCTGAACTCTGATTTAATATGTCATATCAGGGCATTGAATCATTGGAGAACATACAACGATATTTCGCCCAGAGTATAAGGTTTCCCTCAAAGATCGCCTATTTGATTTATGATATCATGCTTGGTGATGATTTTAATGGAGGCTCGCATAGATAAGCAAAAAGTTGTATTCCTTGGTCGCATGTGTAGAACATCGGCAAACTTAATTGCTAACAAAAATTTTCTCTTGAAATTTGATTTTTGACCTTCAACATAGCTGCAATTCGTTTATATATGATATAAGTACTGTACTCAACAAGTCTGATTCGGAAGACTATCTCAACGAATTTATTTTCACTAGAGACATTCAAGAGAAAAAAAAAACACGAAAAACTTAATTGGGACAAGAATACATGTATTTGAGGAGAGAAAACATGAAATGAGTATAAGAAATCCATAGAGGGATTCGTTAGATTTTTAAAAATTAATTCAGGACTTAAAGTGCACCATCTATGGAAAGTCGCTTGCACTGACTCAAGTAGAACAATAGAATATGGGACATTAATTCGTATTGGAGGAATGCAGGCAAGACATGGACTGTGTCCACTATGTGACAAAATAAGTTATGATCGTATTTTGCACATTGCAATCAATTGTCCCTTAACCTTAGACGACAGAAACCACTTGATGGAAAGTCTATTTTTGTATATGCCTCCAGTGATTCGCCGTGAGTTCTGTGATCAGATCGATGATGATATATTAATTATGCTACTTGATGGTTTAGATGAGATCTCAGAACGTTTGGAATTTGAGGCATGGATTAATGTGATTAGAAAATCTACGAATTATTTCATTAAGATAAAGGATTTCATACAGTCAATAGAGAACTTACATAGAGTATATGGAGATAAATATTTGTACTGAAGATACAAACTATTTTTGTTGTGTAGTTCTATTTTCAAATGTTGAAGCATATTTATTTCTCTGTAGTTATATTTGAAAAGCAGCAAAAAATTGTAATCTATCTAGTTTAGTAATCATATTAATTTAATTATTAGTTTGTTATTAGAAGTAATTCAGAGGACCTCATAAGCAACGAATCCAATTTTTTGTGATTTTATGTATTGCATTGCATTTCTATACTTTGTCTTAAAATCTTCAGAAAATGGCGGAACAAAAGAATATCAGTCAATCAATCTCTCTCTCTGTCTCTGTATCTGTCTGTCTGTCTGTCTGAAGTCAAGAACATCTTCGCCAAAAATGCGACTTTAATTATTAGTTAAATGTCTATTTCAGACACACATGCATGTGAAGATATCCTTGTTTTGCAAAGAAGACATGCACATCGAGAGAACCAAGTTTTATGAAGCTTTGATGACTAGCTTTTATTCTTTTATCATCATCATCGTTGTCATCATCTTCTTTATCATCATCATCATCATCTTCATCATCATCATCATCACCATCATCATCTTCTTCTTCTTCTTCTTCTTCTTCTTCTTCTTCTTCTTCTTCTTCTTCAAAGATAGAACAATGTTGTTGTTTTTTCTACAAAACGGGGTTCCTCCAGTGACGTAACACAAACTCGAGTCACGGATGTATAGGACCTACAGGGAATATTTTAACATATACATTCGAACTTAAATATCTCACTTACCAATCATGGCACAGAGTCTACATATTCAGATACTGTGTTAAACACAATTCTGAGTTACAGGTACATTGCACATGGTGTCATAGACGTTTATAATTAATTACCTTTAAATCACTGTCAGCCATCTTTTGGGTCTTCCTCTTTCACATGTATTAGAAACATGATCTCCATTAAAATTAAATAATTTAAAGACATCTGTGTGTATTTAAATAGAAGAATAATTTTATAAATAAATCATTTGTTTATAGTCTTTTTTATAATACCGGTATGTGATAAATTCCATTCCTTTAAATAATGTCAAAGATTCGGGTTCACCCAAAAGATGGCAGACACCTCTAACAAGGGAGGTAAACCTTTTTGGAACTGAAAAGAGTCTATTCGGAGGCAAAATATACTGGGTATTATTTCTACATTTAAAGTTGTGAGCAAGATTTACGGATAAAATTACAAAAGAGAGGCTCGTTTTGTTTAAATATCTTTCATGTAATTTACCTCTTGGTGTCATTTGTGAAGCTGTTCTATTTGTTTTCATAAAATGATGTTAACAATTAAGAGTTTCTTCATTTCAACCATTTGTAGAAAAAGAGCGTGAGACATTGCAATAATTAAATAATCAATGTGACGGCTAGAGTTCTATACGGCAAGAAAAGGAGAAGGATATTAATGCTTTATTGATCTGGAGGAGCCCATGTTGTTAATAGTGTCTTTTTTAAAATCTGAGTTTTTGTGAAAAAAAAAAATTTTGTTTTTCCTTTTTATACTATGTCATTGTTTGAAATATTGCCAACTTTGAGAATAAATATATCTCTCAAAAATG